CATAGGAATTCTGGGGAGAAACACACAATCCAAACACCAAATATTCTCAAATGCGACTTTTTTTTTTTTGCTGCGTCATACTATATTTAATGAGAGGTGAATGCATTTTGAGATGTTGGGATGTAACGTTGTACAGAGTCTTAAAAAGTCAGAGTACCAAGACTTGTAAATATTCAAGCCAGATCATGGCGGAGGAAGAAGACGTATTAGGAAAGAGGTAGGGAACTGGGGGTGGGGACATCACAGGGAATGGCAGGGGCTCCCCATAATTGGCCAGCTCTCCTCAGAGTTGTCCAGCTCCCGAGCTTTTGGGCTCCAGAGTTCTTTGACAGTGACACCCCCTCCTAACAGCTACATCAGCCTTTGTGGAACTGGGCAAGGGGCTGTGAACTCCACATCCCCTGCCACCAGCCCCCAGAGGGTCCCTGCCTCATGGGACTTGTCCTGATGGAGCTCATTCATCCTGTGCCTGCATCTGCCCTTTGTGCCCACAGCTCCGCCAGTTGGAAATGCAGCTGGAGCAGGAGTATGAGGAGAAGCAGATGGTCCTCCATGAGAAGCAGGATTTAGAAGGCTTGATTGGAACCCTTTGTGATCAGGTAAGAGGGAGACACTGGCAGATATTTGGGAGAGCACATCCCTGCCTCTGGGTCCTATTAGAGCAAGGACTCAGGGGTGGGGAGTGGTCTTCAGGACAGGCCGGGGCTAGACCTTTCAGCCGGCCTCCACCAGCTTCTCCCAAGAGCCCTCTTCTCCACCAATTCTGTTTCTGCCGTCACTCACTGCCTCTTCAGAGGGGACCTTCTGGGGCAGGGGAGGGTCTACACACAGCAGGGTTCTTGGGAGGACCCTTGAGAATAAAGAGAGTGGGTCCAGCCATGAGTGACAGCCAAGGTCACCTTGCCTCCAGCTGCTGTTGAGTTGGGAGTGATGGCTGCCCTCACTTTGATGGGGTGACTGTGAATGGCCACAGGGCTCACAGCTGGCCTCATGACAGCGAGACTGTGGCTGGAGGCAGAGTCTGGCAAATGGAGCTTTAAGCCCTAGTGGGGCCACTCTGGCTATGTGGCTTAGGGTGACCTAAGTGACTGCTCCGAGCTTCTGGAGAACAGAGCCTTGTGGGCTTGTTGCACTCGCCGTTATGTACCAGGGTTCTCAGCTGCAGCGCCACAGGTGCTTTGAGCTGCATCGCTCTGTGTTGTGGTGGGTTGGGGGCTGTCTTGGGCATGGGAGGATGTTGAGCAGCACCCCTGGCCTCCACCTCCTAAATGCCAAAAGCAAACCTCCGAGTTGTGAAAGCCAGCGATGTCTCCAGACATTATCAAGCATTCCTCCAGGACAGAGTCAGCCTCCTCTCTGCAGAGGACTGCTCCTGTAAATAAAGCAGCCAGCAGAGCCCAGGGCCACTCCCCCAGATATTCCTCTGTCCCCCAGATATTACTCTCCCTGAACGTGCTGCCGCTGCTGCTGCAACCCTGACACAGCAGAGCAGTGCCTGGACTCCTGTGGTTTCAAGTATCATAGGAGCATTTGTTTGTTTTACTGTATTTGCTTAACGTGTGTTCATTGTCTATTAATTAGCAATGATCTTGCTGTCAGTAACACCTCCCCCCCACCCCAGAGTTGTTCCTTTTATTTGCAGAGGAAAGTGGGCCCCTTCCAAATAGTCCTGCGGGGCAGCAAGGCCTCAGACTAACAGATGCTCACTATGTATTTTTTAGTTGATTAAATGGGTGAATTCTAGAGCAGAACTACTGCGACCATGAGAATGACTTGGAAGCTGAGAGCATCATCAGGAGAACCGTATGATCTTCCTTCTCTGGGTTTTCTGGTTTTTCAGCCAAGCAGACGGGAGGCCACTGAGTGCAGAGCCATGGAGGTTACTCTCTTTTTGGCATCAGCACAAGAGCGCACGCTCCAATATTTCATTCTAGAATGACAGTCTGAAATCACTGGGAGGAGGTTGCATTCTACCCAGCATGGTCCATTTAAGAAACGAGAGGAGGTAATCCAGTAAAGAAAGGTTTTTATAAATATTGCTAAAATTTAAAATTTTATGTGCAAAGGAAAGGTAACTAATGAATGAAATGCCAATTTTGTGTTAGTCACCAAGCTGGAACCTTTAAATAACTTATCACATTTGATGCTTTTTAAATGTGTTAGTAAGACATTTGCCAAATACGTGGAAAAGTAGAACAAATAACGTAATTGATGCTTATGCGCCAGGAGTACAGGGTTCACATAAATTAACGTTTTGCTGCATCTGATTCAGACATTTTTAAGGAAGCAGAACGTTTCAAAAAGTTGGTGGGCCCTCAGTTTCTGTTCCTAATCTCCCATCCCTCTATCCTTCGGTCTTTTCTGCCTTCCTTCCCAGAGGGGACCATTATCCTGACGTTGAAGGGTGTAATTCCCTGCATGTATATTTGAACTTTAACAGTGTACAGTCCATATGATTCTACACGTTGCTTTGTCCCCCTTCATGCTATGTTTTTGAGTTCAGTCCATGATAATACATGTAGCTCTAATCCATTCCTTATAACTGCTACACCATATTCATTCTGCTGTTGGTGGATGTTTAGCTGCTTCCATTCTGAGACGCAGAACTGCAGTGTGTATTCTTATCTGTGTCTCACTGCACGCGGGAAGGCGTTTCTGCAGGGTGTGTAGCTGGGAGAGGAGTTCCTGGCTCTTCGAAAAGTGCCATTCGGGAATTGTTAGATGTAGCCCAAATTGTTCCTCAGAGTAATTGTGGCAGTTTACGTTGTCACCGGCATTTGTGTTTGTTTCCCCACATCCCCCCAAGCACGTGGCACTCTCAGACATTTAAAACTCCTTTACAGTCAATGAGTGTCAGATTGTACGACTTGTCCCTCATTACTAGTGAGGTAGTGTTTTTCATGTTTATTATGGCTTTCTGTTATGTGAGTTGCCTGTTTATAGTCTTCTGTCATCTCCTTTTTTTTTTGTATTCATCATTCATGATCCTTATCCAAGATGCTAATCTGTTTTTGATTATGTATTGTACAAATATCTCCTACTCTGTGGATAATCATTTCACTTTCTTCATAATATTTTTACATAATAAAAAGTGTTTTAAGTAGTCATATTAATCAGTTATGGTTGTTGCTTTTAAGATTTCTTTCCTTAACAGAGTTCATAAAGATATTTTGCTGTATTTCTGAAAATTCCTAGTTTTGGACATTTTTAGATGTTTAGGTCATTTAGATTATATTCTGGTATGTGTGAGGTAGGAATCTATTTTGTTCCTATTATAGATCATCTTTGTTTATTTCATGAGTAATTTTTTCTACAGTTTCCATATATGTATGACTGTGCTTATGGGCTGCGTATTCTGTTCAATTGGTTTATTTGTCAGTTCCTGCACCATGTGGTCTTAATGGCTGGGTTTTGATGACTTATAAACAGCTTATCTTTCTCATCTTTAAAATTGTCTTTTCTATTCATGATCCTTTAATCTTCTTACTGAGATTCCATAACAGAGCCTGATGTGATTTTCAAATGCATTGGTTTGCAAGTTACTTGCAAACAGGTGACATACTTTTTTATATTGAACCATTGCATTCGTGAGCATGCTATATCTCTTCATATTTTTATGACTTTCATAAATGTATTTTACTTTAAATTAATATTTATAATGATAATAAATAAAATAATATTTATATTTTTATTACTATTTTCCATGTAAGTTTTGAGCTCTTCTGTTAGATTTATTTCTCAGAATCTTGTGGTTTACATGCCTATCATGAATAGACTGTTGTTCTGTATTCTACATTTCAGTTAGTTATAGTGATACATGGGGATATTATTAATATATGTTAACTGTGTGTCCAGCAAACTTGCTGAACTCATTATTTTTCATATTCCACCTGTAGATTCCTTTGGTTTTTCTGCATAGATGGTTTTGCCATTTCAAAATAAGAATAGTTTTGCCTCTTCTTTTTTAAGTTTTAGAGCTCTTACTTCTTTTTCTTACCTTATTTCATTGGCTTGGGCCGCCAGTGTAAGACAGAATGGTAGAAGAGATGGTAGGCATTGTTTCCTTCGTAGGGATGCTGCTGGAGCTTCACCATTTACATGAAATTTGCAATGTATATTTGACAGTCAGATTAATCAGGTTCATCAGTTTCTTCTGCTCGTAGTTTTCTAATATTTAAAAAGAATAATGCCTGGTTGTTGAATATTATCAGATGCTTTTTTCTGCCGTTGTTCATAATCCTATGACTTGTCTCATTTATCTATTAATGTAGTCTGTTATAATTTAGATATAAATTATTAGCTTAAATTTCCCAGATAAACTCTAGTTAATCATATATGTTTCATGCACTGCTCTTTTGAATTGCCAACATTTCATTCAGAATTTTTGAAACTAGGCTCATAAGTAAGATTGGTTTGTAATTTTGTTTTCTTACACTTTCTGAGTCCAGTATTGTACTAACCTCATGAAATGAGTTTGCTTCTATGTCTGAAACAGTTTCTATGAAATTTCAATCATGTTCTTGATTCATCTTGCTTATAAACCTAGTTTCTTTTAGCAGGTAGGGTGAACATTTGATTATTATCTTGAAATTCTGTAATCATAATTGAACACCATTCAGATATTAGCCTCTTCCTTTTTGAGCGAATTTTGGTAACTAATATATTCCTAGATATTTATTATTTCATCTGACTTTTCATATAGGTTGCCATATAGTTTTTTTCATGGTATTGTCTTATGATTTTAATTTTACTGCTCTCAGATTGTCCCATTTTCAATCAAAATAATGTTGAGGTTTTTGTTGTTGATCAGTGTTATTGAGGATTTGCCTATTAATTCTTTGAAAGAAACTGCTTTGGTTCTGTGGTTTCCCTGTTTTGTATTTATTAATGTTTGTCGTTATCTTTCTTTTTCCATCTCCTTTCCTTTGGTTTACTCATTTGTTCTCTTTTTAGTTTTGATGTTGAATACGTCAGCTCATTTTAAATGTTTCTTGTTTCATTGAATATTTTTTAAAGTACATTTAAAATAATACATTTATCTTGAATTGCGTGTTTCCTTAGCATGTGTCATCCTTATGTGCTGAGTGCATTGTCATATTCTCTGATTTTCTCCTTTAACCTGAAAGTTATTTAGAAATTGAGTTTTAAGTTTACTAACATTAGGATTCTGTGGAGTAACTTTTTACTTTTGATTTTTAACTCAATGACATAGTAGAATGTCTCTGAAATTGTTGAGATCTCTTAGTTGCTCTAGTTCATGATCAAGTTTAACACATGTTTGACTGAAAAAGAATCTAGCTATTTTTAAGTGTAGGGTTCTTAATGGATGGCAAATGGATCAAGCTTGTTAATTTTGTGATTTAAATATTATGTTCAAATATAAAAACATAAACCATAAAGGAGAAGTTAAAATATGATTACATTAAAACCACTGCCTGTTAACTTTGGTTTTTGTCTTCTTGATGTGTTTCTGAGAGAGTCCTATTCCCACTGTGATCATGGTTTAGCTAAGTTTTGCTTATAATTGTGTTACAGTTTTCTCTTTATATATTTTGAGGTTATATTTTTAGATGCATGTAAGTTGATTATTGCTTTATCTCCTTGGTTCATTGTAGATTGTTCCTTTAATTGTTATATAATGGGGCCCTCTTTTCTCTATGAATTACTTTTCCCTTATTTTATTTTGTTTGATTTCTTTTAAGTTAGTTTTCCTACAAGACTTTTTTATCCCTTCATTTTCAGACTTTCTGTGTGTGTGTGTATGTATGTGTGTATGTCCTTTAAACAGCTAGATACTTTTTTTAACATTTTTTTATTGAGGTATAGTCATTTTACAGTGTTGTGTCAAATTCCAGTGTAGAGCACAATTAGATACTTTTTAATGCAATAGTTTAGTCTCTAATTTTTCATGGGAGAGTTTAATTCATTTACACTTATACGATGGCTGATATATTAGAAATTATTTCTCTTCCTTTGTGTTTAGTATTTGTTGGCTTATTGTCCCTTTTCTTTGCTTCTTTCTTTATTTTTTCCCTGCTTTTGGATAGATTGATGTTTTCTATGATCCTTTGAGTTTTATTGCTGATTCTAAAGCTAAAAACCGTATTTCTAGTCTTTTAGTGGTTACCCATAAATTTTAAGATAAGTACTTGACCGTGTTTTTTTCCAGCATACTTCATTTAATTTTCACAACAAGTCTGTGGAACAGGGGTTATTAGTTTCTTCACATACATGAAAGAAGTGAGGCTCAAAAGGTTTGGCACATTGCCCAAGATCGTATGGTTTGTTAGTAGCCTAGGTGGATTTGAAATGAGGTTTATGTTATTTGAAAGCCTGTATATTTGTAAATCTAACACTAGGCTGCTTCATAGTGATGGAAGTTAAGTTAACTGGATTCGTCCTTTTGTGGACCATCTTTTTTCATGATGTTATCAGGTAGCACAGATCTGCCACTCATTTGCTGTGCAGCCTTCAACTACACACATTCTCTCTCCAGGCCTCAATTTCCCCATCTGTGAGGTGGCTTGGTTATCCCCTAATAAGATTTTTAGAACATATCTTAAAAGTGCTTGGAGAGTTCTGTGATGACGGACATTTAACAACTGCCCCCAACAATTTACCTTGATGATAAATGGTGAAACGATTGAGGTTTGGATTGAGTTCCCCACAACAACACTAAACATCATTTAGATTTATTGGTTAATTACTCACCAGCTTTATCTAAATTTGAATCTTTGTGCTGCAAAATGTGAACTTGCAGGATGACATTTATTTCCCATTAACCTAATGAGTTTTGGGGTTTTTTCCCCCCCTTCTCTCCTGTAGCAATTTATGATGAAGGGAAGGATGACTTGGCCTGAGATTTTTGTTGTGAATTTTGTTAGCAATGATCCCTCTGGAAAGGAGACGGTGCCAGCATTTTTAGTCTTCCTGGCAACGAGGACGGTAGACTCTGAAGCAGCTGTACTGCATGGTCAGTGCAGTCCCTGATGCTGACTTGCCCCACAGGAGAACAGACGCACTTCAGGGTGTGTGCAGAGCAAGAACAGATTCGAAAATAAGAAAGGTGCAAAGCATGCTGCTTGAGTGTAATCATGGCAAAGATTCTGGGCTCTAGAGTTGGTAAAGCAGGCTCAGATTTCATTAGGCACTGTGGTGCAGTGGTTAGAGACTTGCATTCTCATGCTGAGCTGCCTGGGTCCCAATCCCTGGGTAGCCCCTTAGGAGCAGTATGACCGTGGGCTGATCACTTCACCTCTCCCTGTCAGTTTCATCAGCTGTACCTCTGTTTCTCTGACAGTGCATACTTAGGAGCCCCACATAGCTTATGCAGCCTGAGCTGGCCCCATGTAACTTCTCTCACTCTGTGACCTGCCCCACCCCTGTGTTTATGCCCTCATGCTAGTCACCCAGAGCCGCGTATGCAGTGTGGTTTCTCTGCCATCTGTCCTTCCTCTGGCCATGGCCTTCATGCACCTCACCTAGCTAACTCCTGCTTACCCAACAGTCTTTCTGATCCCATCCCAGCCTGAGCTGGGATGCTCCTCTGTGTCTCCATAACACCCCCTTTTTTTAAAATTAAAAAGCAGAACATACCTCTCTCATCATATATTTTATTAAAACTACCTCTTTAAGTCAGAGAAGCTGGGTTCATATCCTAACTTGTGCCTGACTGGGATCTTGAGCAAACTGTTTCACTTCTGTAAGCTTCAGTTTCATCATCTGTACAATGGACATCGTGGGGACTGCATACCTCGTAGATTTGTCATGAGGACGGCACGTGTTAATACCCGTAAAGTGTTTAGCGCAGTGTCTGACACTTAGCTTACACTTACAGAGGGCTTTCTGTTACCACTTTAATAAAGGCAATAATAATAACGTGTATTTTTAAGAGACTGACGCAGGAGTTAAATGCAGTAATATGTGACAAAGAGCCTGGCGCAGTGCCCAGTGCTCAGCAGGTGATGAATATATATGTGCATATACATATATCAGTTTTAAACTTAACAAAGCAATTTATCTGAGAACTAAAAGGCTATAGACTAAGAACCAGCTCATTTTTCAAAGAACTCAAAACTGATGGTAGAGAAATAGTAATGCAAAATCTAGACGAACACATTCTGAGTCGTCAGGCGATGCTCATAATCTTTTATATTTGTAAAGCACTTGACAGCGTACAAAGTGCTTTCCGATCCACTATCACGTCTGATCCTTGTCTTATCTCAACCAGGAGGATAGGGAATTTTTTTTTTTTTACCTCTCCCTTTATAGACAGGAAACTCAGGTTCAGAGAAGGGGGCATGACACAACCACAGTTCCTACCGCCAGCCAGTGGTGAGCCGGGGTTTAAAGCCTGGGCCACCTCATTCTAAATCCCACATTCTTTCTAGACTATCCCAGGGCATTCTGAGCATCCCAGGAAATGGTTACACTTGTAGAGGCACAGACATCCGCGCCCATGGAAGCGGGGTGGTGGGGGGCCCACGGTCGACACACCTGCCTCTCATTTTCTTGACAACTCCCCATCTGACTGATGGTGCCATGTTCTTCCCTCTGGTCCCTTGGAGGGAAAGGGGCTGTGAGTTTCTTTCATAGATGCCAACCCCAGCGTTCTTTAAAGTCAGCGCTGTTTCTAGGGGTTTTGTCGGGCCCCTGAGTAGTTCTGCACATTCCTTGGTTTGTCTCAGCCTGTATTGTGGCCCCTGGCAGTTGTCAGCAAATCTCCTTCACCCTCTTGGTGCCGAAGCTGGGCTGTGGCTTCTTCAGGAGCCATCTGACCCCACCGTGCCCTTGAACTACAGGATTCCGGGGGAAAGAAGTGTGTTCGCCTGTGGGCAAGGGCCTTCTGTGGAAAATCACCTCATTAGCATGTGTTTAAACTGGTGAAAGGGACCAGCTCAAGGGCCAGAAAAGCTTGATTCAGACCTTCGAAAGCAGCACAGCTATTTTTAATACTATTTACCGAACTGCACGGAAGCCCATCTTACCCCACTTGTATCACTCATTGAATTTTCATAAACTCATAAAACCGGCATCCAAATTAATACTATTAATAACCCCTCAAAGTCCCCGTCCAGTGTTACCCAGTCGCTGCCCCTCCAGGGGAACTGTCATCCTGACTTCTGGCAGCAGAGGGCCTCACCTGACGTGTGGGTTCTTGCAAGGTGAAAAGCAAGTGGGCGGCTTTGGTGCGAAGCATGAGGCAGAGGGACTTGGGGTCCATACAGGCTGTGATGGTGGTGATGACAGCAGCTCAGTTTATTGTGCCTTTATTGTGAGTCTAGCTCTAGGCTACACACCTGTTTAATTTTTACTGCAGCCCTTGTAGTTGCTGCCATTCCTGTCCTGAGAATGGGGAGGCTGAGGCTAGGGAAGAGGGATCCAAGGTCACAGGGGTGGAGGCAGGATTTGAACTCAGGAAGCCGGGTTCCATAGAACTTGGACCCCAGCCACTGCTTTGCCATCTTAGCTCACAGCCGCCTTCCCTTGGTTTCCAGATCGGCCATCGAGACTTTGACGTGGAGAAGCGTCTTCGGAGGGACCTCAGAAGGACTCATGCGCTGCTGTCAGATGTGCAGCTCCTTCTGGGGACCATGGAGGATGGCAGGACATCGATCAGCAAGGAGGAGCTGGAGAAAGTGCAGAGCCAGGTGGGTGCCACAGGGCCCCTCACAGCCGGGCAGGGGGGATGCGGCAGCCAGCAGGGGAGGCTGCTTCCCCACCCAGACGTGGACGTGGCCACAGCCCTGACCTCCGCTTCCACAGACCTGCAGGGGGCTGGGGAGCGTGACGGGGCTGGTGGGTCACATGGAGATGGTCGATGGGAAGGGGGATTTATAATGACTGAGTCCTCATCTTCCCTTCTTTAGGCATGAGGTAGAATGAGTTCTGGGGCCTTGGGCAGATCAGGGCCCTGGGGCAGAAAGCTGAGCCCAGCCCACATGCGCAAGTGCCTGGTGGTCACGGGGCTGGGTACAGAACAGATCGTGTCACTCCTAACAGTGACAGTAACAAGCAGTAGCCATTTGCCTGCCTGTTGGAATGCTAGTGATACTGATCACGGGACGATGCTGTGAGTAACTGCTTCCTTCTGGAAGCACCTGTACCCGGTACTTTATACAGGTCGTGGCGTTGATTTCTCAGGAGAGCTGACTGAGATGAGGACATCATCTCCATTTCACAAGCCCCAGGTGACTGGGTGGCAGAGAGGGGAGGTGACCCACCCACAGTCACAGCTAGACAGTGACAGAGTCAGGATTTGAACCCAGATCTGCAGGCCCCACCATCCCTGGCTGCCTCGGGGGAAACCTGGAGGTGGCTGGCAGGTGAGGCCAGGAAGAGCTGTGGACCTCAGGAGACGTGACAGGCACGGGCTGTGCCAAGTATAGACGGCACAGCCCAGAGCAGCAGGTGGTGAGAGGTGTGAGTGGGTCAGACCCTGCAGGGTGGTGGCAGCTTTAGGGAGAGAGGTCCCAGAGCCACATGCTATAGCAGGGACTGAGGATTTGTGACCAGTCCCCATAGGGAGCTGGAAACACCTGGGAGGCTCAGCCTGCTGCTGGGGGTGTTGTGCCTCTACATGTAGTGTCACCTTGGAAGTCATGCGTCTCCCACGAATGAGCCATTCATGCTGAATCCCGATATGTGGAGACAGAAGGTGTTTCCCACTGTCTTCGCTACCTCACCTGCTCAGAGTATTACCATCACTTCTTCCTCCTTCTCTGGCCTCTGTCATGTGACTTCAGCCATGCCGGCTGGCCAGGGGCTTCTCATACCCCCAGAAACTCAGCTGGGTAATCTGCACTTTTTGAACTGACTCCTGAAAAAAATTATATGCTTGGTGAGGATTGTGTATACTCATCTCTGATGATGCCCGTCCAGTGCATTGTGCATCGTAAATACTTCCTGTTGACGTCCATTGACTCATTCTCCTGGTTTGACAAATGAGGAAACTAAAGAACAGAGAAAGTGAGCAATTTGCCTGAGGTCACACAGCCAGTTAAAGGGAGGGCTGGCCTCGAACTAGGTGCCCTGACTCCAAACATAGTGTTCTTCTCTTTCCCTCTAGAGAAGCTCAGGTTGGGCAGCAGGTACCAGGAAATGCAGCGGGAGGCAGCAGAGTCCAGCTCCAGTTCTGGAACCAGGGCCAGAGCTTCTATCACTTCCTGTCTGTAGCATCAGTTTCTCACTTGTGAAATGAAAAGTTCCAGCTAGAGATTATTAGCTAAACTAAAAGAATGTTAAAAACAAAACAAAATTAAATTCCAGACTTCATTTGGATTTCACCATTTCCTTCATTCATGTCCATTTCCTGTTCCGGGATCCAGCCCAGGGCCCCACGCTGCGCTTAGTTGTCAGGCCTGCCCTGCTTCCTCTGGTCTGGGAGTTTCTGAGCCTCACCTTGTTTTTTGTGACCTTGACAGTTTTGAGGAGTGCTGGCCAGGTATCCTGTAAAACCTACCCCAAGTTGGGCTTGTCTGATGGTTTTCTCATGGGTAGATCAGGTTTGCAGGGGTTTAGAAGGAACACCCCAGAGGTGCAGTGCCCTTAAACCAGGAGACACTCAAGGACCTCTCTTTCTTGACAGTTCTAGATTCTTAGCAGTTTCCTTCATCAAGTCACTCTCTGCTAGGCTGACTGACCATGCCTGCTCGTTCTGGACTGTCCTGGTTTAGCACTAAAAGTTGCATGTCCTGGGCAAACCCTCCACCCCAGGGAAACCAGGACAGTTGGTCACTCATTTCCCTTTGTGGCCATGTCAGAAAATTAGAATCACCTGTGCTTGAATGTGCCCCCTCCCTCAATCCTCAAAATACCCCTAGGGGAGGGCAAGTGGTTTTGTGCCCGTTTTACAGATGGGAAGGCTCTGCCCAGAGATGGGAAGCAGTGTGCCCAAGGTAACACAGCAGGTAGGTGTCAGAACTGGGATTCAGATCCAGGGTGGTGATTGTAAGTGCAGAACCTGGGGCTCTTCTGCCTCACCCTGCACCTTCCTGTCTGGCCGACCAGATGGGTGCAAGACCCTGAGCTCTTGCGTCAGGCAGTCAGCCATCACTCAGGCACCTCGGGTTCATGTGGCCCCCTTGGTGGGCGCCGTGTGCTCTGTCTTCCTTCAAAATATTCCTGATGCCATCCAAACCCTCCCCCTCCCCATAGGTGAATGTTCTTGAAAAGGAACCACAGTGGTTTTGTTTCTTTTTCTCTTCCTTTTTCTTCTGTTTTTAGTATTCATGAGAAATATCCCTCTGCAGGGTTAAAATGTGTGTTCTTAGAAAATAGTGGTATTTAATGAAGGCGACTTGAGCTGAATCAAAGATCTTCTTTCTTCTGAAAGTCCTTCTTCCCCGTCTCTGCATCCGGCTCCTATCAAAGGGAATTCACAGCCTTGGCTTTCTGTTGCTGTTGTCATGGAAATCGTTACAAGGATGGGATGGCGTGGACCAGAGGTCAGGGTACAGTTGTTTGGCTCCCAGCACACGTGTCCCGGATGCTGGAGTCAGAGCTAATCAAATAAAGCGGTGATGACATTGGGCATGGCTCTCTCTCCTCTCCCACGTACTGTATTTGTCCTTTACCTGAAGGCTCCAGGGACAAGGCAGGGAGTGCAGACAGGAGAGGGAAGGGGGAGCGAGCTGACTTTGCTGCTGGCTGCGTCTTCAGGGCCGGGTGTGGGGCTGAACTATTTCATTTGCTCGCTCATTCTTTCAGGATTTATACAGCACCTACCCAGTGTCAGGCGATGTGCTGGTTCTGAGCATGTAATAGTTAGTATGACAAGCGTGGTGTTCTCTCATGAAATACACATCTGACAGAAATGCAGGCAAGCAAACAGTGATACAAATAAATAGAAACATCCCACAACTTAATTCGGGCAATAAAGGAAATCAGCAGGGTTATTTACAAGTGATAAAGAAAATAGGGAATTGCAAGGGGGTCTTGTTTAGCTTGGGTGATCGGCTGCATCACCCTGGGAGGAGGAGAGGCTGGCAGTACCAGAACGCGCAGGGCCCCGAAGATTTGGATTTGGTTCCAAGGGTGGTGAGAAGCCTTTGGGAGATTTTGAGTGGAGCATGGACAGTCCAGTTCACATTTTAGAGGCTCACACTTCTGTGCGGGGAATGGAGTGAGGAGGGGTGAGTGCATGCCGTTAGGAGGCTAGTGGACCTTCCAGGCTGGAGGATGTGGTCTCCTGGGTTAAGTGGCTATGGAGATGGTGAGGAGAGGCAGACTGGGGGCTGGCTGGACGCCGACAGGACTTGTAGGTGGTCGAGGTGGCAACAACAAGTACATTATTTAATAGATAATCCAGAATCTAGGAGGTGGCCCTTTCTATTTTTGAACCATTTTACTGATAAGGAAACAGTCTTTGAGAGGTTGAGAAGTTTACCCAAGGGCACACAGCAATGTAGGTCTTAAAGCTCTCAGTGCCAATAGTTCTGTACTCATGATATTAACATTTTTCAAGCATCTACTGTGTATCAGGCTTTTCCTTAGAGTCTCAGAGTCCCCTAACCTAGCTGCACATCAGATAATTTAGACACCATTTAAAAATCACAGATTTCTGGATTCCTCCCTGCTTTTTTTTTTTTTTTTCTGTTGAGACCCAGGATCTACTTTTTAACAGTCACATCACGGGGTTCTTATGTTGGTCTTAGGACCACCATTTGGGAATCATGGGCCTCTTTTATCCCTCAAAACACCCTTTCAGGTTCAGTGGCGCATGTCCATTTTGGAGATGAGAAGACTGATGGTGAAGTTACATTAGCTGGCAGAGCCCAGTTCAGCCAGTTTTAAAATTAATTAAATATTGAGTTAAGAGAAATGGATCCAGGACTTGCTAATTTTGTGACCTTGGACATGTGATGGGACCTCCTTGAGCCCTTCTGCTAAAGTGAAGCGAACACATTGCTTGCTGTCCGGGGTGCCTGTGGGGGCCGGTGAGGCAGGGCTGGCGCAGCTGCGGGAAACTTGAGCGCCCTCAGCAGCCTTCACAGCTCACTGACTGCGGTGCGGCCAACCCAGAGAAAGGGTTTCCCTGCAAGGGCAAAGGTGAGGGAATGTGTTTGCATGCACCTGATGGTGAACTGGGTGTGTTCAGCAAATCTTGATATGGTCTCCACTCTGGACGAATTCAATTCCAGGCCGCAGGGATGAGGAGGAGCCTGTCCTTAGAGGGACTCCCAGTCCAGCAACAGGCAGGCCTCAGAACAGACTATTGCCAGCAGGGTGATGAGATCTTTATTGGGAGAATGTTGGGGTTTATTTAGCTAAAGAGGATGCCCTTAGTTTAGGTGTGGGAGAGGAGCTGGTGGCCTCAGCTGTCTCTTGAAAGGTGGAATTGAATGGCGGGTGAGATGCACGTGGGCATTCTAGGCAGAAGTAACAGGAAGTAAGAGGGGGCAGAGGCAGGTGGAGACGGTGGGGGTGGGCATGTTCGGTTTGGCGTAGTATTGCTGAGTATGACATTCCTGGGGTATGAGCAGAGAGGATGATGTCAGTAATTGAGGCAGAGTCAGCTCATGAGTGGTTTGCGAGCCTGGCTGAGGAGTTTGGGTTTTATCCCAAAGGTAATAGGGAGCCATAGAGAGCTACAGAGCAGATGGGCATGGTCAGAGGTGCTTGTGTAAAAAAAGAAAAGACAGGATTCCCA